TTTTTTTTTTTTTTTTTTTTAATCTGAACTGGGGATTGAACTCAGGCCCTTGCGCTTGCTAGGCAAGCCCTTATTCTACTGAGCTATCTCCCCAGCCCTGAAAGTATTCTTAAGTGATGAGAAAATTTACAAACTCCAGCTCATTAAAAAAGTAGGCAGTAGAGGATGAGTATGCTGAAGGCGACGAGCCTTTACTACCTAGGCCTCTCCGTTGGAGTGGCTTTTGTGTCACCAAAATTATAGTGTGTACTACTACATGTCGTCACATGATATTCGGCTACGTACAGATCTTGGAGAGTTCACTTAGTGGTGTATATGCACAGCTTCCTCTCATTCTTTTTATTTTTAATTATTTATTGGTACCAGGGAGTGAACTTGGGACCTTGCGCTTGCCAGGCAGGTGCTTACGCCGTTGAGCCATGCCCCTAGCCTCCCTCGTTCTTTTTATGAAGGTGCAGGACAGGCGTGTGCTGCTTGGCAAGAACTACGTCCTTAGGTAGGTCCGACGTCGTGGAGGAGCAGAGTGTGGATGAGCGCAGGATCGGTGGGAACGAGCGTGGCAGAGGTGGCAGTCGGGCCTGGACAGCACGATCCGGAGGGGTGTCCTCCGGCAGCACGCTGGTGTTCTTTGGCCAATCGGCTAGGTGACGTGTGTTTCATTGTTTCTCATCGCTCTAGATACGCTGGGGCATCTGTGCACACCTCGTGTTTGTCCTTGTGAGAGTGGATTTGGAGTTACATGAGAGTTGACACTTCCTGTGTTGCCTGGCTCCTAGATCAGGATTACTTTTCCTGCAGAGGAGCAGATTGTTGTTGGGGGATTGCTCATCAGCAGAGGTCCTGAGTTTGACCCTCACCACCACAAAAAAATTAAGTAAATGGAAAAGGACCAGAAGTGCAGCTCGTGAATATTTCGGGCTTGGTGGGCCATCTGGTCTCGGAGCTGCAGCTCGGAGCGCCGTGGACAATCTGTGCTGGGTGGGCGGAGCTGTGTGCCAGTAAACTTGTTTATGGAAGGGATGGCGGCCTGGGCCTCCCCACTCTTCCCCGCCTCTGGCGTCTCTTTGCACAGCCTGCCGAAGCAGCAGCAGTTCTTGTCCCACTTTATGGAAAAGAATCAGGCGGAGCGGACGCGAGGCCCAGGGCAGGGCAGGGCCACCTGGAGTTAGGCTGGCCGCTTGTGCTCCTCAAGTCTGACAATAGAAGGAAGCTGCCAGGTGCATCCCCCACGTGTCACACCCTCAGGCACCAACCCTTCCGGTATCTGTGGTCCTAGCTGGGGACCACAGGACACCTTGTTGCCCTCCTGGTGTGCTCTGCCCCTGTCACCGGGCGCCTCTCTGGACCCTGGCTTTGATCCGCTGCTGGAGAGGTCAGCCTAGCTGTGCGTGGGGCGGGCGGCGGGCAGAGACTGCTCCCCAGGGGACCCGGCAGGGTGCTGGCAAGCCTGCTGCTCTCATCTTAGGGATGTCTGCATCAGGGTGGTCACCGAACGCAGTGGGTGCGTCGCTTGGCTGCCCGCAGCCCGTTTTCCTTCATCAGTGATGTGGAGCCTATTAGATTGTTGTGAAGGTGAAGTAGTAGGGGCAGGTACGGAATAAGGACAGTCGCTGTGTCCTTACAGCCTTCGTCGGTGGGAACCGCTGTCCAGTGTGCTGCCTTCACCAGCGTGTCCCAGCCACACGTGTTCTTGCTGCCGAGATCTAGCGGTCCGTAGAGGCCACAAGGAGAGCGTGGGTTAGTGACAACAGAGACAAAGCGTGCAGATTGAGAACAGAGACGAAACCCGTCTCCAATGGCAGACGTGATTATCTGCAGAGAAAAACACGAGGAATCTGGAAAAATACTGGGACTAATAAGATAGTGAGGACATAAGCCATCAGTACAGACAGACTCAGTTTATTTTTATACCAGCCATGTACAATTAGAAATGAAATTAAAAAATCATTTCAGTAGCTTAAAAAATCAGTAAGCATAAATTGAATTAAACACATAAGATTTGTTATGCTCCAAACTATAAAACGGTGGTGAAAGTAATCAAAGGTGATTTAAGCAGGCAACTGTGGCCATGGGTCAGAACTCGGGACAGTAAAACCACCTTTCTGCTTTAAAGTGACCTAGATTTTTGTTTGTGTGTGTGTGTGTGTGTGTGTGTGTGTGTGTGTGTGTTAATGTGTTTAGTACAAGGTCTACAGGGTCTCCCTACATAGGCCGGACTCCTACTGATCCTCCTGTTTTCAGCCTCCCAAGTGCTGAGATTACAGGCCATTTCAGCGCGCCCCAGGAGTGGGTGGGCATGATACACCAGGGATTGAGCCCTGGCTGCTGCACTCTGCCTAAGCAGGTGCTTTAGTCCACTCTGCTATCTGGCTGGCCCTAAATTGACCTAGACTTTTACCACAGTTCCAGTGAAGAAAAATAAAAAATAAAAAAAATTCCAGAATGATGTTTTTAAATTTTAAAGAGAAAAACCAAGAAAGCATAATTTTTTTTTTTTTTTTTTGCAGAACCAGGGATTGAACTCAGGGCCTTGCACTTGCCAGGCAAGCGCTTATTCTACTGAGCTATCTCCCTGGCCCCAAGAAAGCGTAATTTCAAAACAAGATAATAAAGTAACAATGGTTAATACATTGCACATTGTTATCTTTAGATTAGTCAGTATAGGATATAGACGTTTAATTATCTATTTATTTATTTGAGAGAGAGAGAGAGAGAGAGAGAGAGAGAGAGAGA